CTTCCTTCCTTCCTTCCTTCCTTCCTTCCTTCCTTCCTTCCTTCCTTCCTTCCTTCCCTCCCTCCTTCCTTTCCTTCCCTCCCAGTGGTTAGAATGCAGTATTGCAGGCTAACTTTGCCCCACTGCCAGCAGTTTGATTCTGACCAGCTCAAGGTTGACTCACCCTTCCAATCCTTCCGAGGTCGGTAAAACAAGGACCCAAATTATTGGGGGGAGGGTGGGGCAAGAGACTGACTCTGTAAACCACTTAGAGGGCTGTAAAAGCACTGTGAAGTAGTATATGAGTCTAAGCGCTATTGCTAAGTGCTATTTTGGCATGTGATGATCAGTTCTGGCTATGCAATTCTGCAATACACTTGACCTCTAATTGGACTATACAGCTTTCTCAACCTATGTAGCCAGGACCTATGGAGGTTTAAGTGATGGAAGACCTGACACTGTGCCTCCAAAGGCCACCCACCTTCCTCTTCCGCCCACAAGTTTATTCCCGTGCACCAACCTTGTCCTCATTCAGTGGCTCTGCGTTGGACTCGTCCAGGATAATCTCCATGATGCTGAGGACCTGTTCTGCCACCGCCGCTCCACCGCTGTCCTTGCTTTCCTGCTCGGCCACCAAAGCCTACGGAGAGGACGCAAATGAGAGCATTGGAGATGGAGAGCTCAGCCACCAGTCTGGCTTCCTCTTTGCTGGCCCAGGGCACCACCGTTTCCTTGCCTCCAAGCAGGGAAGGAGAAAGAGAGACAAGAGAACCTGCCAGGCGGTGGGAACGTGGCCGCTTACCAAGTTCAGTGTCCCCAGCATGACGTTGAGCGTATTCATCTCCATCTTCACCAGCTGCTGACGGTTGACCTTCACTTTGACGCAGTAGCTGAAGAGCTTCAGCAGCACCTGCGGGAGGAAGAGATGGTCAAAGATTTCAGGAGCAGCTTCCACCCAAGTGATGCTGAACCATGTTGGACCAGGAGCCTCTCAAAGAAAAGAGAAGCAGGCTATTATAGCCACCTGATGGCCGGAGTTTCCTCTCACTGCTTGGAAAGATTTCCACTTATCTGAACTTTGAGCAATACTTTGCCTTGGACTCTGATTTACTTTTGGATGCTATTTGGAACCCTGACATAGCTGTTACCAGGAGCTGCTAGGGGTTCTGCTATTGGCTGCCTGGCTGTGCCTCTTGGCTGGATTCAATCTTTTGATACTGGAGTTATTCCTTGGACCGATGTTAACCAAAACTCAAAAAGGAATGAGAAGGAAGTAGTCATGATGGTCAAAAACCCCTCCCTTTGCTGGAGGTGCAACTGAAAGTTTTCTTTCTTCCTTTTGTCCATCAATCTTTGGGGGAAACGTATGACCTTCTTCACACAAGCATCCCGCTAGCAAAGGGCTTCCAAAAAGGGAGGTGGGGGAACGCAACTCACCGTCAGCAGATGCCGGCCTTGTTTGAAGTCTTTGATCCCGGTCAAGCGGTTCAGCATGCAACCCAGACCGCCGCATTGCGCCATGACTCCCGCCATCTTGTACACCTCTTCCTCATCCTCCTCTTCATCTGGGGGGAGGGGGGGAAAAGAGGCTTTCAGGAGAGGAACAACAGCATCCACAAGGCTTGGAGAAAAGATCCTGGTTGCTTGTCCCAGGAGGCAAGGCCCAACTCTTCCATCTCACAACATATAGAGAGGTTTAACCAGAGATTCAATGGGGAAAATGTGGCCACATCCAAGTCCAAAAATGCCAGGGGATCTCTAGAAAGCCTGGGATTCTGCTAAATCAGCCATCAACAGACACATAGACATAAACAACATCTACAGACTATGCAAAAGGGACAGTCAACCCGCCTAATAAGGAACAAAAGGACTCTAGGCACCTCTCCGTCAGTAATCAGCAACCAGATCAGCATAGATGAACTCCAAGGTTAACTTCAGATCCAACCACCCAGTAATCAAACCCCCGGTCATGAAATGGCCAAAGAGCCATCAGTAAACGGCCCAAACAAAGAACCTCTAAGACCAACCCCACCAACACTGACAGGGCAAGCCATCAGAGTATAAACTGACAGCAAACGGCTCTCCAGTAGCACTGATGATGTTACCTAGTTTGGGTAATAAAACGTCTGCAGGAAAACAAGCAAGCTCAGAGAGCACCAAGGACCCCACAGTTGTCCTCCCCCTCCCCTCCATAAACCCCACTTCCATGTCTTTCATCTCCTCTTCCTTTCCTCCACCTCCTCCTTCACTTCCATGTCCTTCATCTCCTCCTCCTCCTCCTCC